TAAGAATACAAGTAAAAATTGCCGTTGGCTTTTGTCACACAGTATTGGGAATATGGTATAGAAATCCTAACATGTTTAAAAATATTGAATATAACGTTCTCTTTACATGATGGTGATGGTGAGGGGAAAAACAAAGATTACAGCCGTCATGGAGATAAGTTGGAGTTTGCAATTATGAGAGTAAAACAAAGAAGTAACAGGACTATAAATACAATAGAAATAATAAAAGTAAAACCTGTAGGTATATAAGGATGGATGGATGGAGGAAATTGTTTATTTACTAGATGAGGGAGAAAGTTTAGTTAGTCAATTCTTGCCTGACACTATTTTCACTATCACATAAAATACGTGCCAAGTATGGTAAGTAGGAAGAACAATAAAGAAGAAAAGGTAGGATGCAAGAGTTTATGAACTGTAAGAGGAGGGGTTGAGTTATACCCGAGTGTTTTAACTCCTTAATGTAAAATGTCAGGCGGAAAATTTTACTGGAGATTGCTAAGACATGGGAAGACCAGGAGAGATCAGAAGAGAGAATGAGTCCAAGATACTTAATTTCTGATTTGATTCCTATATCATTGTCGTCAATTTTACAACTGTCATGAGAATCGATGACTTCTTTTAACTGTCGTTTACATCTTAAGCTGAAATCAACAGTTTGACACTTAGAAGGATTCAGTTTAAGACCGTTAGACTCAGACCATTTGCTGACTTCCGATAGAAAGCTATTTATTTTAGTACAATCTAGCTGGGAGTTAACAGCCATTGAAACCGTTAAATCATCAGCGTACTTCACAAAGTTTATTTCATCAGAGTGAGGCAAGTCATGCAAGAAGAAAGAAAAAAGAAAAGGAGAAAGAACAGCACCTTGAGGGACACCAGCTTCAGTAGGCAATGAAGTGGAAGACTTCCCTTTATATACGGTGTACTGCTTTCTATCTGAGAAATAGGAATGTAACCAGTTAACAGCCCAACATTCTGTTTGACTAGCAGCAAGTTTATTTAATAAGATGTCCCTAGGGACCGAGTCAAAAGCAGATGTATAGTCTAGGAAGGCACAACGAACAAATTTAGCCCCCTTGTCTAGACTGGAAGCAATGTTATGATATAAGACGGCAGCTGCATCTAAAGTGCTTCTACTGTGCTTATAGGCGAATTGTTTAGGGTCATTAAAGGATTTAAGCGAAGGTACAAGACTAAGTAAAAGTAATTTCTCCATAGTTTTCAAAAAAGGAGAGGTAATAGCAATGGGTCTAAATTTGACACATGCTCCAGTAGAAGATTTAGGTATGGGTACAACTTTAATGTCCTTCCAAACGGCAGGCACAATATTATCGGAAAAAGATTTGTTAAATAGATCAGTAAGAGGGTGACACAGAATATCAGAACATTTTTAAAAAATAATACTAGGTACATAATCGGGACCTAAGCTCTGGGAAGGGTTTAGAGACTTGAGGCACTTTTGAACATCATTTGTGTTAAAACCTGGAAAGGGGCTATTATTAACACAAGTGATGCTGGGCATTTGAGGGAGAGTAAATAAAAGATTTGTTAAGAGTACATACATCAAAAGAATATGGAATATTGTTTATCTGCTTACCACCAGTGATTTCCTTAAATAGTTTCCACATATTAGAAGGATTTTTGCAGGATATGAATTTCTGGTTATATATTACATTCAACCTCTGCATTTCAGACTTAATTAAGAAGTTAGTTCTTTTTACACCACTTTTATCTTTCATCTTATACAGTTTTTCCTTCTCTCTACGAAGCTTTTTAAGTTGAGGCGAGGAGAAACGGTCAAATTTGACGAATAGTGTTTCTTTTGGACAGCAGATTTCAAAACAGAATTTCAGATAGGATGTAATATTAGAGATATTGTCATCAAGTGAATCATCATTAAACAAATCCCATCTTGTGTCACTGAGCATGTTTCTAAGATGATGTACGTTCTCATTTGAGTAGCATCTGTGAACAACTTTCTTAGACAAGTTTGAGAGGGCTTTACTGTGTAACTTTCCGTAAATTTTGGGTAAGACTCGTACAATACAATGATCAGAATTGAAGAGCGGGGCTCTTTTACGAGCTTCGTATATTCCAGAATCATTTATAAATACTAAATCAAGTGAAGTATTTTGTCGAGTTGGGAAATTAACAACATTTTCATGGCCCAGCAATGTAATAAAACTGCAGCCACAGGAGTTGAAGTCGCCAGTCACTACAGATAAGGAGTTACCAAACGAAGCAGCACCAAAAATAGTGAGTTATGTATATCGGTTGTTCAGCTGGAGTATTGTTCAAGAGGGTGCAATAAAGCTACCCTGCATAGTTACGAGCAGGTAGAAGTGAGACTACAAGAAGTTCAATAAGTAGACATCTGGTCGATACTATTCAGCTTCTCTACACAGTCTCTTCAGTTAAAGTAATCTATAAGGCGGGAAATAATCTTCCAAAATTTTCACATGTTCGATTCTTGTGTGTTGCTGAGTTTCCGGCCATCGAAATAGAAAATCTCAAGCTTTTTATACAGAAGGAGTTCATTCAGCTGCTCTTTATTCCATGGTCTCAGTCCATCTATGCTAAATTATTGTAATCAGTAGTTTTTTGAAATGTCATCTTATCATTATTCTCATCTTTTTACGTAATCCTTTAGTTGTCTACTAATCTTTTCTGCTTCTACGCCCACCTTCAAATGCATACACTTCATGGACGATATGTACTTATTAATAAAAATCATACACATTTTAACACTGAAAAGATACTCCTCAGTGAATCGATTTCTCTCGGCTTTATATGTGCCCTCATGGGAATGTTGAATTCATTTCAACACATCTAGAGATAGAGGGAGAAAAAAGCGCCGCAACTGGTTATTTGGAGGCCATGGGTTCGAATCCCACAGTGGTCGGGATCTTCATTTCACCATTAGTCATGAGTTCACTAAGCAAACCGACTGCATCAACCGAAGACTATTTCAGGCAACCTTGACATCATTATCAGTGCGTCGGTGGCACAGTGGTTAGGACTCTCGCCGACCATGCACATGGTCCGAGGTTCGAGCCCACGCCGACGCACACCTTGATATCTATGGTCGGCCTGCGAAATTTGGGCTACCGATATCCGTGCTGAAAATTCCATACTTGGATATAAAATACGGTGTGGAATCAAGCTGTAATCAAAAATAAAAAAATAACACAAATGTAAAGCGTTCCTTCAGAAAAATGGAGATTGTAAATAAGGAGAGTCAGTCACTATGTGTTTGTTTGCGTGTGTGTGTGCATTTTGCTCAACATTTACTGGAATTCGGTAAATGAAGTTCAGAAGTGGAGGAAATTAAACTAGTTGATTAGAAATAACCATATTATGTTCATTTCGAATTCTTAAATTTTCCCTTGGTTGATTTTATCAGATCTTTATCAACATGTTGCCTCCAAGTACGAGGAACTTGATGGTACCTTGAAGTTTATTGAAGGCCATTTGTTTTACAGGTATGATCACGAATTGATATTAGTTAGAGAACCACTGAATGACCTACGAGTACTGGACAGCCGTTTCGCTGTAGTTTGGAGCCCTTCACAGTAATCAGTCAATGGGCTTTGAACTCAGGACCTTCGAGCTCCAAGACGACTCACTTGCCGAGACCTGATCCAATAGCCTATCAACCCACGATATATATACAGCGCAACCTTCAGCAAATGTCGTAGGCGACTAACAGTTTTCGCCTATCAGAATTGGTGGACCCCAGTGGTTACGATTTTTCATTAGAACTAAAAATAACTTCCTGAATAAAGCAAGTCACTAGTGATCATCAAATTAATTGTCCAATTCCAACAAACCAACATTCAATAATATCTCTTCGTTTAAGTGTGGGGAAATACAAAAATTCCATTAAATAATGGAAACCGATATTTATTGAACAAAAACAAACGATTTTGTAGCGCATTTTAGTCTGCTGGAAGATACTTCGGTGTTTGAAGTGATGAGTAGTCAGTTTGCGTCTTACTGAAAGCATCATCATTCACTAAGGTATTAGAAAATCTAGTTGGTGAGTTCCAAATAAGGAGACTTATAAGTCTTGAATGCCAATGTTACTCACCACAATCAAACAAAATCCATATAACATGTCAAAAATGTTAAGGGAATGAACACATACTAGTGCCTAAAATTTGTGCCTGATTGGCTCAAGCAGTTAATTTCCAACTAACGAGCTAGGTTTTAAACCCCAGTCCACCAATTTCAGCCTGAATGACCGGGATAGTATTCACTCACTGACCATCACATAATAAGTTAGACTAATAATCGGAGAGATGAGAAATCTGTGCCGGATAACTAAGTTCTAACCGAATAAATATTAAAATAAATACTGCCAAACAAATTTCTGTGTGTCAGGGGTTTCACCAGTGGAATGCTCGACAAGTATGCAAATAGGAAAGGGTTCGATCTTCGGCCGACACACTCGTCAACTACTCTAAGCCGGTAATAAGGCCGGTAAAGCAGAGATGCTGCGCATAAGGCTAGCAAAACAATCGCATAAAAAATCCCAGTGATAATAAAACTTCGAATTCCTAGTTAAAAGCTCTACTCTCTACTTGAAACGTAAAGGAATAAAATAAACGTGTCTCTGGCCCTCATTTTTTTGCATTTTGAGCAGAAAATACGGTTTCAGGCTTTAGGCGCTGAAGATTGAGTAGCCCTCGTGGCTTAAACGCTCAAAGTTCCTAGCCTCATACACAGTCTTCTCCCTTTTTCGGTGTTACTACTGGAGAGGCAAGGCTTAGGAGTGCGTCAGGTAGGAGTTGCGCCCTGGCCCACACTCATGGTCACTAAGCATTCCCCTCCCTGAACCACCGAGACCCGTAGAATCTCAGAATAATGCGAATTTGTAATTTACTCAATGATTTCACCAAGACAAACAGGAGAGTATTCAACATGAAACGAGACATATTCATCCTTTAAAACAAATAATTATGTAAACTTAGTACGTGTTAAAGAAAGGGAAAACTTACATCTGTAGGGAATTCTAAGTGAAGATTTCCTTGAAGTATTACTGTTATTTACACTGTTGTTTATTTTATGAAATCGAAATTCTTGATAGTTCTTTATTTCATCTAACCGCCAAGTCATATCCAGCATCGATTGAACATGTTTGTGCAGTTTACTTATGCGTTTAATGTTTCGAAGACACCGCTGTTTACTTTGCAACGTCCATAAACGTACCTATAATTAGAAATGCGATAAAGAAAAAGAAACAGGGAGGGAGAGAACAGCAACTTAATTTCTGATTGAGTTATGTCGCATACGTGTAATAAAATTTCACATCGAACAATACACATCGAACAATACACGAACAATATCAGACCTCATTTGGAATATGGGATCCAGGCAGCGAGCCCGTGTTTCAAATACGAAATAGACTTATTAGAAAGGGTGCAAAGAGTAGGAACTAAGCTAATAAAGGGTTTCTCAACCCTGTCATATGAGGAGAGGTTAAGTCGACTGGGTTTATTTCCACTGTCATACAGACGACTTAGGGGTGACCTAATACTAGCATACCGTATCCTAAGAAATGATTTTGGAGCTAATTTATCTAAATTATTTCTTCCTTCTAGCACCAACCAATTGCGAGGACATCACCTCAAGGTTCAAAAACCACGGTCGAATCGTCTGCGTCTGGAAATCCGTTTTTCACATCGAATTGTGAACCATTGGAACTCCCTACCGGAACACGTCGTATCAGCGCCATCCGTTGATTCATTCAAGGCGAGATTGGACCTCCTGTATGCAATAAATCGAAAGGATTAACACAGGCATATAGCCTACTATCCTAAATAAATTGTAAACTGTAAACTGTAAACATCATAAAAAGCTGTAGTAGATCAAATGGCTGCCCAGAAAGAATTAACAACAAGGAATTATGGCTCAGAAAAAACCATCCAGGAGCCGATTACTCCACAAATATGTAAGAGAAATTGGAGATGGATTGATTGGGCATACGTAGAGCAGGCCATCAAATGACATCGCAGGTAGTGGAGGCCAGTGTTTGAGTAAAATCCAAAAAGGGAAGCGACGAATGGGTCATCTGAGGGTAACATGAAGGAGATCATGTTAGCAAGAGGAAATGAGAGAATATGTGCAATCGTGGGCCCAGCTGAAGAGGACGTCAGAAAACAGAAGAAAGTGGAGATGTTTAATTGGTGGATGTTGACTGGCAGTGGAATCCAGGATACGCACTTCATCCTATTTGGGACTCGCCCTTCAGCCGGGATGTACCTGCATTTCGCAGTGAGTGATGATGTTTTCACCGAGGCTGGAACCCAGTGCCCATAGTTTCAAACTCCAAAGCGTTATTCGCTAGACCACTTGGGCCACGAGAGCCACCTCTTGCGCCATGGGTCATATTAATTATTTAATTGAATTGTGGATTTTCCCGTCGATTAATTGGATCGAAGTGCTCGGTCTCACGTTGACATGTCGGCTTCTTGTGCAGATGCTCTGACGATACCTGGGCATGAAATTATAAGTTCATTGGTGGATAGTGACTAGCAGTGGAATCCAGGATTCGCAAGAAGCCTACATATCAACATGAGACCGAGCACTTCGGTCCAACCAACCGACGGAAAAATCCAAAATTCAACTAAAGGTGGAGATATGTTGTTGAAGGTCTATGTTTCAGTTGTAACCCAAGGGAATAATAAATAAATGAATATTAACAGTGGTCAGCTGGCTATTGGTCATCTATTATTTCAAAGATTTCGTAGTTCCGTAATCAAAATAGCTGTCGTGGGATTAGGTCAGTGAGTGTAACTCTGTACTACCATTTACTCTTAGGTGTACATTGCGTAATACGGCTCCCCAAGTATCCAGCACATTGTTCTCTGTGTGTATAATTTTCTTTCTTTGTCTTTATTGAATTCATCCCATTTTTCAGTTATAAAATAAATTATTTTAAGTTTATTTCCATGCTCCTTCTGATCATACTTGTTATCCGTTTAGAATAACTATTTTACAATTATATTCTTAATCTGTGTAATTTTTTTGTTTCTATGCCTCTTGTAATCTGCATTCGTACCTTCAAACTTTTATTTCAAGTTGAAAATTATTATCTCCTTCGTTACTATATGGAATCCATGTAAACCAATGTATATAAATACGATTGTAAAGCTGCTTTTTAGAATGAAATGGCTGAAAAGATAGTTATCTGTGTTGCTCAACTTCTTGTTCTTTTTCCTCTTAAACAGTACGCAACTATGACCTTACAGATGAGTGAACCTCAGACTTTCGGGTTGCGGAACGATCCCATTGTAGCGAAATCTAATGATTCATGAATTATAACTTGGAGCATTTCATGATATTTACAGTAGCATCCAGCCAATGACATCCCACTTGACTTAGTGGACCCTACTGGTCACAACTTCACACTAGAACTCCTAAATCTCTGTCCCTTAGTTAATCACTTATTATTATTGTTATTATTCCTTCGAGTTCCTAGTGGAACATAGGGCTTCAACTGCACGTCTCCACTTGCTTCTGTCTTCTCTCGTACCTTTCACCTGCATCCATATTAGTCCACACTCTTTCAATTCCTCTTCACATGATCTCCTCCATGTCACCCTTACACCGACGTCCCACTTGCCTCTTCCCTTTCGGGTTCAACTCGAGCAGTGGCCTGACGCGCGACGTCACCCAGCGGCCTGCTCAGCCACAAGTGTCCAATCCATCCATCTCCACTTTCGCTTGCATATTTGTTGGTTGGCGATTGGTCCTTGTTTTGTTTGTTTGTTCCCATAGTTTCTTGTAGGTGATTGTTTCCGGCCCGGCCATCTGATCTTCAGTATATAACCTTTTGCTTAAATTTCCTCGCAAAATATTATTATTGTATCCTTTAATTCCTAGAGGAACATAGGGCTTCAGATGCGCGTCTCCATTGCCTTTGGTTTTCTGCCAACTTTTTCACCCCGCTCCAAGTCTGACCACATGCTTTCATCTCCTCTTCACATCACCTCCTCCAAGTCACCCTCGCACTGACGACTAACTCGCCGCTTCACTTTTGGGTTCCAATCGAGCAATGGCATGTCTAGTGATGTCACTTGACGGTTTTCTCAGTGTATGGTCAATCCATCTCCATTTCTTCCTGCCTATTTGCTGCACAATCGGTTCCTGGTTGGTTCAATCATTGTCAGAGATCCCTGTTGGTGATCATTTCTGGCCATCTGATCTTGAGTATTGAGCAAAGACGACTGTTATTGAAGGTCTGTAGTTTGTTTGAGATGCTCTTCATGACGGAGTGTAATTGCCAAAATATCATATATATATTTGCGCTTATATAGCTTGATAATAAATTCGTTGAATTTTATTTTGTCAATGTCATAATGGGAATTATTAAAAATTATGTCACCAGTTGTTCAATTTCAAACTGATTGATGCAAGCTGATATGTGAATATTTGTCATACTCCTTTTTTGTTAAAAAGAATAAAAAGATGAGAGTAGCATTCATTTGTGTGTCATTTTTACTGTTGTTAGAAGTTAAAAATAACTCAGGTTTAACATTTTTAAGTCATTAGAAGAATAGGCATCTCTATCAAATGATCAGACAGCTTGTTCATTGTATTGTCTCGTCTATTTGTTTCAATTAATATCATAAGTTTCATTAATCCTCATATTAAAATCTTTCATTTAGCAATACTACTGTTATTCGCTTATTCCCTGTATTCTGAATGACACATAAGGCCATCAGCTGTATGTTTTCATTCCACTTGGTTTTCTGACATCCCATTTAGCTGACTGCCCGACTGCCTGAAAACTTTCATTTCCTTCTGACTACTTGCTTAATTGATTTACTAATAACCTACTGGTTTTGGGCTCGAGCCCTAGCACAGTTTTATGTGTACACACAGTAATTCTTGATTTAAACGTACTTACTTTCAAGTGTTGGTTTGTAGGGATTTGATCGGTTACAGGATTTCATCATGAGCTGACATCATTTAGAGAACCATTGAAAAACCTGGAAGTACTGGACAGCTATTTTGTCCTGGTTTTGGACGCACCCACCGGAGTTCGAATCCATGAAAATGTTAGGAGTACTTAACCTGTCATATGCTCTGATAGTGTTCTCGTGACTTTTGTTGTCAGATCTGCCAAGATCGAGGGGATAGTACTCGAGCTAATGGTTGTGTGCAAGGTTTGAAGAAGGCTGTGTGCTAGCTATATGCATGCGCCTTGCCCTGATAATGTCAGGGTCCGAACCCCGGTGGGTGCGTGCCAACTGAAGAGTCCCAAACTAGGACGAAACAGCTGTCCAGTACTCCTGGGTTTCTCAATGGTTCTCTAACCAATGTCAGCTCATGATGAAATCCTGTAAATTACCTACTTTATTTTCCAATTCTAAGTCCGGAAAAGATGGAAGCTTAGATATACAGCCAGCAATCAATCCACGTAAAAACAACCTGAAAAGCTACTGAAGCTTCAAACCACAGAAATATTTATTGGGTATAACTGCCGGATTGACTGCTTTCAACATACGACTTTGCACAGACACGCAGCAGTTTAACTCGCCACTCTCCCTCCATGTAGAGCACAAATGAGAGTATAGGGAGATTCAACAAAGAGAGGTCATAAGCAGAAGTGTGAGTAAGGGAAAAAGGATAGTAATATGGTGGCAAATGAATAGAGTTTTACTGGATATATGAATGCCTCTGCACCAGCTATTGACGACGATTAGTTTTAACCATATAACCAATTGTCTCCAGTCACCACTGGTCCCTAGAATCCCGAGAACCCGAAAAGTTTGGTAGTCAACATCTCCCCACATGGATGGCTAGTTCAAAATAATAGTTGTGGATTTCATTGACTAATGAAGCCATGTTATTAAAAGCGAAAAAAACAACAAATTGGTCGAAGAAGCAGCAAAGACAGGACTCCAAGTGAACATAGACAAGACGGAGGTTATGAAAATAACCAACCAACCAACAACAACAACAACAGCAACATCCAGCGCCAATCACCATCAACGGGAGGGATCTGAAAGAGGTTACTTCATTTACTCACTTATCTAGGGAGCATTGTCTCAACTACAGGCTGTCGGGACGGACGAGGATGTCAAAACGAGCGAGAATCGGGAAGGCGAGAAACCCACACATTCATCAACCTGAAACCAATCTGGAAATCTTCGTCACTCAGCCAGCATCAACAACAAAATTCTCTCGGATTTTCTATACAAACGTCAAGTCAGTCAGTTCTTCGATACGGATCATAAACTTGGCGGGTGGGTCCCAAAGAATATTTCCAACAGCCTGTTGCAGACCTTCATCAACCAACAACTGTCTTCTCTGGCTCTATACTAAAGATTAGATGGCCGGGCCGGAAAGAATCACCAACAAGAAACTATGGGAAGGAATAAACAAAACAAGAACCAATCGCCAACCAAGAGATATGCAGGTGAAAGTGGATTGAGATGGATTGGACACTCGTTGAAGAGGCCGCTTTCTGGGTGACATCGCGCTTACGTCAGGCCATTGCCCGAGTGGAACCAGGCCGACAGGAAAGCGGCGAGTGGGACGTCAGTGTGGGGGTGACATGAAGGAGATGGTGTGAAGAGGAGTTGAAAGAGTATGGAGTAAGATGGATGTAAGTGAAAAGTACGGCAGAAGCAAGATAGAAGCAAGTAGAGACGTTCATTTGAAGCCCTGCGTTCCACTAAGAACCCCAGGGAACAGTAATAATAATGAACCCATGTTTTAATTTGACCACGAGTAGCTAACTCTTTTCCAAAATGATTATATATATCAGTTAACATTATCTGTCTAGGAAGCTGGTGGTTAAGCGTGTGTAACGCATACTTCAGTCGATATAAATTCTCATACTCATTGGTTGGCTTTCCCTCCTAACCTAGCACTCGACCGGAGACTAAGCTGAATATTACTCACAATATTATACCACCACCTAACATGGAAGGTGGAGCACCGGCAAATAGGATCAAAGAAAGCTAACTAGTAATGTCCACTTTCAGTGGCCACCATGACTTATCACAACCATCAAGGGGGACAGAGAGAACTAGTGCTGCGCAGTACACACATCCACTGATCGATAGTTGGCCGGATATCACGTCTACTAAGCCAGAGATGACTTAAGTTGGCATATGCCAAACAAGCCTTATGTATCCGTTCTGAGTTTTTGATAGCGACCGATCAGTTGGGGTTGATGAAGCCCCCATTTCACACCTGCCTATCTTTAAGCTAGGATTTAAAATACTCCAGTCCTGTAGCGTCATCTTACTGTTAACAAGAGGAGCGAATCTTAAGCCAGAAAATTTTAAGGTTGAGGTGTTCAGAGGACTCTATATTCGTCAGTATCTTCATCTAAGAGGGTTGGATCATCCGCGTATTCTAATTTTACAAGACTATTTCCCGGTAACAGTTCAATCTCTAAGTTGCTGAAGTCATTTAGTCATTCCATTAGCACATTTATGATGAAACTAAACAAAAATGAGGATAGTGGGAATCCCTGATAGATTTATTCATTCACTAGGTTCCTATCCAATCAATACCCTTTATTATTTTCATTCTTAAAGTGAAATTCACCAATACAAAGTCATACGTAATCCAATATGCGTTACAATTAGTGCTATTAGCATACAAAATTATAAATATGATTATGATTGCTATTTATTTGTCAGGCACCGCAAAATCACTTGAACAATAGATTTCAATTAAAAATTAGCAGATAGCTGTTCCGTCTCAGTTTAAAACTCCTCACGGTAGTTTGCAAGAGACAGAACCCAAACTATTCACTTTCCCAAGTGATAATGTTGTCTTCCGGTAGATAGGCTGCATCACAATGATTGATCGATTGTAACTATTTTTCGATTCATGACATAGCATTAATACCAATGAGATTCGTCAGATACTCGACGATGATACCGGACTGCAGTGATACATGGATGACCAGCACACTGGCTGCATGGGTATGGTTCACACTTCAGAACTTGGATGTACTCTGTTTGATCCATAATGGGTTTCTAAATGAAAAATGACGAAATGACAGAACCTGTTGTGGAACAGCTTTCTGGACTTCAGCAGTTCTCAAGTAGATGCTAGTTCTTGTGGACATCCATTCTGCAATTTACAGAGTTTCTGGTTCGAACCCAGTTACTGTCCACAACAAGAATAATGAAACAGAGAAATTCAGGTATTCTTACCCGAAACATTTCTTGAACAAGGTTACACTTTTTTTTCCTTCATGTTCCCCAGTGGAACATAGGGCTTCAAGCTAGTTGCCTGAAGTTCCTGTAGCAGTGTTCGATTTTACAGGATGGCGTTGCTAGCCTCATGCTCACCCTTTCATCTTTATCAGCATTATTTCTGACTTACCGAGGTAAAGAAGTGCGTCGTTGGCCGGGGATCGAACCCCGGACCATGTGCATGGCAGGTGAGCGTCCTAACAGCTGTACCACCGACGCGTACATACATACTGTTCTTTAACTGCACCACTGCCTATGAGGAATTTAAAAGTACTTAGTAGATTTCTTGTAATCTGCAGGAATGAACATCTGCGCTAATCACAACCAGGTGAATCCCCTCCAAACTTGAACCAGACCATTACTCATTAGTTAGTCTCCCATACTATCATTAACAGGTGACGTGTAATTCCAAAACTTCAACTTACATTTGCTACCATATTTAAAGTACTTTCACCATAATTTCGAGTTGGTAATCTTGGCGGTTGTCTGGTAGGCTTCATTCCAGTCGATTGACTTGAGCAAAGATCAGAATAACCATCTGAAATGTGATACTTGTTATATTCGCTTGATGAACGTAAACTACAAGTAGAATGATGTGTAGAGTTGTGTCTTTTATGCATAATTTTGTCACTTTGATGATTAATGCTATTCTTGTCTGTTTGCAGTTTTATGAGCTCACAGTAGACATGATCATTTGAGACAACAGAATCCTAAATAAAATGCAGAGTAAAAGTAATAGTAATATAAAATAATATAGCAACAGTTTAATTCTGAAGAAAATAGTTCTACCTATAATTAAACCGAAAATCTGGGTACGTTACGTTGATGATACATTTGTAATAGTTAAGACAAATGAATTAGAATATACCCATTAATATTTGAAGACGTCAAATTCACAAGAGAAGAAGAATTAGATAACAAAATCCTATTTTTAGATGTCTTAATCAGGAGAACTAACACAGGAAATTTAGAAACACAAGTATATAGAAAATCAACGCACAAACACAGATCAAATACTCAACTAAACTAGCAATAACCCAACCCAATTACTCACAAAAGAAAATGTGTGTGGACATTGTTTAAAAGAGTTACAACACACACTGTGGCACTCCAGAGTTGAAAAGAATGGAAGAAAAATACCTACAAACGGTCTTCAAAAAGGATGGATATCCACCTCACAATTTCATCAAAAAGTGTTTAAAATCGAATCACAACACCAACAAGGAACCATCATCAGAGAACACAGGAAAATTCATCCTACCATATATAAAAAATATCTCAAATAACAGCTAGAATACTGAAAACGTTTGATATAGATATAGCACACAAGCCAGTCAAATCACTTCATTCCATATAGTGCGAACCGAAAGATCCAGCAGAAAGAGGAGATAAAATCAATACCATTTACAAAATAAATTGTATGTAATGTGACAGGCATTACATCGGCCAAAGTGAGCGTCCCCTTCAAATCAGGATCCAAGAACACAAATCAGTCGTGAAAAGACACGATATATATTCTTTCATATCAATGCACACAGACAATTATGGACATCAATTTGATTGGGATAATGTCAAAATCTTAGACAGAGGAAACACCAGAAGTGCAGTCAGGGAATTCCTAGAAGCCTGGTACTCAAACGAAAATGCAATTGACAAACACGTTAACATATAGACGAAATATACCAACTAATAAAAAGTAAATCATGTGAGGAGAAAGTTTAAAATCTAAGTCAATAGAAATTGATCAATACATGTGTAAAGATGGTTACCGGGAGACGCAATTATATCACTCATGAAGAAAATATAAATCATTTCACTTTATGCTAAATATTGCGCTGAAAGGGGATGCTGTCCAGAAGGGGGAAGACGAAAGCTCCACAACTAAACCAACCAGCTCAGAGAACACTACTAACTGCTATTCATCCACCTGAGCTACAGATCTTCTCTATTATGTTAACACAGTATATAGAATTCCCAAAGTAACCTCGTTGTATAATATTCTTTCTTCATCGACAATCTTCAGTGTTGTTCGATTCGAAGCATAGATTATTTTCTTGTGATCATTTCTCCTCATCTCCGAGAACTAGGTATCAGTAGTTTGAAAGTTAGTTAAAAATTCACTTCTTTGTTTTCGTAACTGTTACATAATTCCATATTTTCCCTTATGTCCACGTGCATCCTGATTACAACCTGTCGACTAAATCATCCATCCTGTTACGTAACTTGAGTACGCTTATTTCATCCCTCTGATTGACTACTATTAACAGCTAATTTTGTAATAAGTCATCATTTTTATTACTTTTGTATGTAAATGCTATTGTGCAGCTAAGGGGGAAAACAAATTTGCCAAAGAGTGTCTCTTCGCCGTACTACTTGTTTTGTTTTCATGAATGTCTGGATTCGGCTTAGCCATGCATTGAAAACTAGTCATTTCTGTCGATGAATTCACTCATCATATCATGAAATAGAAAGATGGCTGACTGGCAGACATACTTAAACCACTGAAGCTAAAAGTGGCTAAGTATAGTTTGAAGGACACCTTTGAATTTGTAGACAAAGTAAGAGATAAGAAGATCAATGATGATGATACAATGATGTCTATGGATGTCACCTCACTGTTCACCAGTGCCCCTTTATTAGAGATCGTCGACTTCATCTGTGAATCTCTTGTAGAACATGATATGAACGTACGTATGCCACGTTAGACACTACGGGAACTACTACTTCGTTGCACGATGAGTGCGCAGCCTCATTTTAACAAAGAATTTTACCATTTAATTGGTGGGTGGTGACTATCAGTGGAATCCAGGACAACGCGCATTTCGTCCTATTTGGGATTCGTCAGCTGAATGTATCTCCATTCCTCAGTCAGTGAGTGATGATGTTCTCACCGAAGCCAGAACCTAGTACCCATAGTTTCAGTCGCCAGCCAAAGCGTTATTTACTCGACCGCTTAGGCCACGAGGGTCACCTCTTGTGCAACGGGTCATATCGATTATTTAATTGAATTTTAGATTTTCCCGTCGATTGATTGAAGCAAAGTGCTTGGTCTCAGGTTGACATATCGGCTTCTTGTGTATATGCTTCGACGATGTCTGTGCATGTAATTAGAATTTAATTGGTGGATTGTGACCGAGCCCTTCAGTCCAATCAATCGACGGGAAAATCCAAAATTCAATTAAATAACTGATATGACCCGTTGCACAAGAAAAAAGGTGGATCTCGTGGCCCAAGTGGTCTAGTGGATAACGCTTTGACGTTTGAAACTATAGGCACTGGGTTCGAACCTCGGTTGGAACATCATCACTTACTGACTGGGGAATGCAGATACATCCAGATGACGAATCCCAAATAGGACGAAATGCGCATCCTGGATTCCACTACTAGTCATCATCCACCAATTCAGTTCTACTAACATGCCCAGACATCATCAAAGCATCTGCACAAGAAGCCGGCATATCAACTGAGACCGAGCACTTCGGTCTAATCAATCGACGGGAAAATCTCAAATTCAGTTAAAAGAATTTTACCGTCAATTGGAGGACGTAGCAGTGGGCTTCCCTCTAAGTCCTTTCTTAGTCAACATGTTTATGGCAAAATTAGAGAATCGTCTACACAAGAACGGTGTCAGGGAACTCTGTTTCTACTGTAGATTCATGGACTATTCTTTTGCAGTGCATAATAATAAAATCGATGCCGAGGTCCTCCTCCAAAAGTTCAGTATGGCTCACCTACAAAATGAGTTCACATATAAAAGGAAAAAGAAAGCATCTTATAATTTCTTGATGTCCTGCTAACAAGAAAGCAAATCTGTAGAAACTAACTCTTGAAAACGAATCTGATTTTTATGTAATTTTGGACTGGCGTTGATGTAGTACTCGCCAACTACTCGCTTGGTTCAGACTGACGCACTTCAACGCCTCACCTAAGAAGAATTAAGCCTGTAAAATAGGGAAGGTTAAGCGTGAGTCTAGCAACCGTACACTGTAAAAAAATGTACACTTCTGTTGAAGGTTGAAAACCAACAAGCCTGACACCGTATTCCCTACGAGAAGCGTACGATACGGAAAAAAATCATCCCCTTAGGATACACCCTCGTATTCTCTCCATTCTATCAAGTGAACGGCTGTAATCTCTGTTTTGCTAATGGAAGCATAGGAAGATACTTAGCTGTCTTTTTTCTACTTTGACCTAACAAGCATCATTTATGAAAAATAATGCGAAATAGAATTAATTACCTTCAGAACTTTGTTTTTGGGGTCATATGAACAATTTTAGAGATAACAAATTGTTAAAATAACACGAATAGTAAAAGAATACGTTGAAATGGCATTTCGCGATGAAATATTAGTGAATAATAGTCTTTCATTATAATAGAGGTTTTTGTATTTATAATAATAATACTTTGAGAAAGCTATTAGCATGAAATAGCGAAACGTCAGTAAAAACGACAATCTCGTTTTCTTTTTCATTCATTGGGAAACACGAAAACCTCTATTATAATGAATATCATATACCCAATGCCCAAATTTTTTCAAACGGTTAATAATAGTCTTTATCTATTTTCTGCAAAAAAACCCCCATATTTCTACCTCAATGTACAACCACACTGGATAGTAAAAGTACAAAACAACAATTGTCGACAAGCTAGATGACAAAAACAACAGTTAGTCCTTTGTGATGAATTCAATTTAGGCATAAAGAAAAAACAAATATAGCAAGAAGACGTAATTATCTCATAGTGTCTCTCCAATCGCATACTGTTCACAGTAATGAGATAAAATGTGTGACTACGACTCACTTGTGTAAAATAAAAGTACATCTTTATTACCAATCCTACGTTTTAGCAGGTCACGTAGGCTATGGTAGGCAAAGGTTAAAGTAAATTATTGTTAGGTTTCAATAGTTTATATACATACTGATAAGTTTTTTTGTGTTTGGTGATATTTTGAACAAACTTACCAGTGGCTGAATGGTATACGAGATCGCCTTGTAACTGGAAAGTCCTGGGTTCGAACCCTGGAGGTGGGTGTGTACTGCCGATGATTTCCAAACTAGAACGAAACAGCTGGCTTTCCAGTACTCCTTTTGGCTGGTTTTCGCTGGTTCTCTAACTGATATCAATCCGCGATCAGCTCGTCAAAAACGTATCATTGTGTGTAAACTATTGAAACATAATTATAATTTATTTGATCTATTCTACAATGCTCAAACTTTTAACTGAAGTCTATTGTCTTTTGTACACAGAGAGTTTGGGGTGCATGTGATCAATCCCCCAAAAGTGCTTCCCTCACCTTTGATAACCTTGAATTAAAGTTATATGTGAGATATGTTAAGTTATATATGAGATGCTGACTAGCGACTGGCCCTATTCAGGTAGGTAGTTACCTGGAGTTCTAGTGAGAAGTCGTGACCAGTAGGATGCAGCAGGTAGGGTGTGAAGACAAATACTCGCCGAAGACATTGGCTAGTGGTCACGTTTTGTCGTGAATTGGCAGAAGTTAGAATTCCTGGGCCATTGGAATGGGTCCCAGTGGTTTAATTCTATACGAGCTTGCCTTGAAACCAGAAGGTCCTGGGTTGGAACTCTGGCGGTGGGTGCGTACTGATGAAGAGTCCCAAACTAGGACGGCAGAAACGGCTGTTCAGTACTCCCAGCTGGTTTTCCAATGGTTCTGTAACTAATGTCAGCTCGTGATGAAAATCATGT